TAGCCAGAGTCCCATGCTTTCCACGTGTTTCTCAAACACTTTCTGTGATAGTGGCTTTGTCAATGGGTCTGCTACATTTTCCGCTGATGCTACCTTCTGAATCAGGACGTCCCCTCTACCAACAATCTCCCGCAGTACGTGGTACTTCCTCTCGAYGTGCCTCGACTTCGAGTGGGCTCGTGGCTCCTTAGCCTGAGCAATGGCTCCATTGTTTGATGGCGCACGTCTCTTGTTTGGTCGGGTTTGGTCAGACTGCTCCCACGTCTCTTGTTTGATGGTGCAACACCTGCCAGTCCAGAAGACTGCCCCAATCGAATCAGCTTGGCGAATAATGGCTGTAGCAGAGGATCAAAGGCGGTTACACCCGATTTGACAGAACATCAGTATATAAAGGTCTTGATCCCCAAGGGACAAGGTAAGTTGAACAAGGTGATTTTGCACTATCTGCACTCTTAGCTCTCTTACTATTCTCTGCAGTTCTCTCTCAGAGTTCTAACTTAAGCATCGGAGTGTTCCCGTCGGGCGAACTCCCCGGGAATCCTTCACTGTCTTCTCCATCTCAGGTACTGTCCACTGCTAGTTAAGAGTCAGGCCACCGCCAACTAGAAGTGACCAGATTGTGCTACATCAAGAGCATTGTTGACTCCTGTGTTCTATGGATAAGAGATTGCGATCTTGTCTGTTGGGTAATTTTGTTTTTCACCAGAAAATTTGTTATGGAGATGTTAAGAACTACAAGAGGCAACCCTGCAATCTTCCATGGGAGTTCTCCAGAAAATATATTCATTCCGAGATGGAGGAGACTGAAATTCTTCATTTAGCAATTTTTGGAGGAACTCCGCCTGAAAATTGATTTCCACTCAACTGGAGATAGCCTGAGATCTATAATGTCCGAACTACTGAATTAACCGGACAGATTGTGGCTTTCAAGCTCTCTTCTGGCAGCATGCCGAAGCAGCAACATGTCTATCCTGCCTTTATCCCCTGTTTTTGTGCAAGCACCATCAGAGAAAGGATCTGGTGGATTTGTTATTGATTTTCTCATGGGAGGAGTTTCTACTGTTGTTTCCAAAACAGCAGCTGCTCCAATTGAGCGTGTGAAGCTCTTAATACAGAACCAGGATGAGATGATCAAGGCTGGCCAACTGTCTGAACCCTACAAGGGTATCACTGATTGTTTTGGAAGAACAATCAGGGATGAAGGCTTCGTTTCCTTGTGGAGAGGCAATACTGCTAATGTCCTTAGATACTTTCCCACACAGGCCTTGAACTTTGCTTTTAAGGATTACTTCAAGCGGATGCTCAACTTATGGCTACTGGAAATGGTTTGCTGGGAACCTGGCATCAGGAGGTGCAGCTGGTGCTTCATCTCTTCTATTTGTCTATTCCCTTGATTATGTTCGAACACATCTGACCAATGATGCCAAAGCTGCCAAGAAGGGTGGTGAAAGGCAGTTCAATGGATTATTGAAGGGGAGAGAGAATTCCAGGCATAAATGGAGGTATTGAGCGGCAATGGATCTGGGTGGCCGCACCCAAGTCTTGTAATGCTTTCTGTCATTTTACTTGTTCGTTAATGGATAATAGGAACCTATTTGGATGGTTTTTAAAAGTTCAAGATACTGTAGTGGTACATTTTGAAGTTCGGGGACTGACTTGAAAGTTGAAACAACCCCTAAAATACAGAGTATTTGATCATGAATTTTCCCAATTATAAATACCTGTCCTGAGGAGCGTTGTAACACTTAACCCCTGAACATTGTTTTGCTAAAGACCTCCCTGAACTTTTATATTCTAGCACTTTGCACTCTGTTTTGCTTATGGGTTTGGTGGTCAAGGTAGCAAAGGCCAAAATCATGAAAATAACGCACAAATTATTTCTCAGAGCATTGATGAGCCAACCATTTTTAAGGTGTTCTCAAGGTGAACTTTATACTCAGTTTGGAAGGAATACAAATACAAATATATGCAAAATGTAAGAGTAATTTGTGGTTTTAGAAATATTTAATGAAGCATTCCACGGAATTATTGCACGGATGAGAGAAATACTCTATGAAGTTGATGAAATGCCAACAACGGAAACAACCTACAAAGTGTTGGATTCCAAAAAGTTTGTAATGTTAGGGTCCGAATCTGCTCTTCAATGAGTGTTCCTCACACCGATCTCACAGGAATCGGGATCTGCTCATCACAAAGCACACCTCACATGAATCTCACAGTCCCATCCCACCGTGTATTGGGAACATCTCCCCATGGAATAATAATACAAAGGGCAAGAAATGTTCCTAATACATGGTAGGATGGGTCTGTGTGAGGTGCACTTTGTGAGGAATGGATCCGAATTCATCTTACAACATATTCCAGCCACACATTGAGAACATCTCCAATTCTTATTTAGAAATTTGCATGGGAGATGTTCTCGATACACCCGTAGGATGTGACTGTGAGATCAGTGCGAGGAGCGCTCACCGAAGAGCAGATCCCAAATCATGTCACTACACCTTAAATAAAGGGTGAGTGTTTGTAATTCACCCCAAAAGCGTGTGTTGGGTAGGGGTGTTCACGGGTTGGGTTGGGTTGGGTCAGTTTCTTGGGATTTTCCCAACCGACCCGACCTGATTGGATTAGCTAAGGTGGGAACCGAAACCGACCCACTGACAGGCCAAACTGACCTGGTCGGTTTGAGTCGGGTTGGGTCGGTCTCGGTCGGTTTCGGTTTTGCTCCTATACAAAGCCAAATAAAATTTGAATTAGTTGATAATTTGATATTCAAGAGTCCAAGATAAATCTAAATTTAATTCAGGTAAAGAATAAAATCAATAAATTCTTCATGTAAAAACAAGTGTCAATAATGGGCCTTATAGAGTAAAAAACTAGGTAAATCTAGGTAGGTAAATCAATAAAATAAAAATTTAGAAACCTTCTAAGTTCTAATCTAGGTAAAAAACTAAAAAAGAACACCTAATTGAATTCTAATTGTAATTGCCTAATAGGCCTTCTAGAGTTCTAGTTTTAGTAGAAGTCTAAAAGTAGAAGACTATTAGGAATTAGGAAACTACTCAAACTAGGTAGTAGGAACTACCAAACTAGTAGAATACTAGTTCGGTTCGGGTCGGGTTGGTTTCAGTTTTCACGCAAGAAAACTGAAACCGACCCGAGATTTTGGTTTATGTATGTGCCCAACCCAAAACCGACCGGTACGGATGAAAACCCGGCCAACTCGGGTTGGGTCGGTCCGGATTGGTCGGTTTGGTTGGGTTGGGCATTCTTATGAACAGCCCTAGTGTTGGGAATTTAGACCAAGTAAAAAATGACAACCAAAAACCGTTTTTTCTGCCGGTTCCGACCCAAACGGTATGAGCTCCGGTCACCGAGTTTGACGACACTGATTTGAGATTCAAAGTTCAAAGTTCAAACCCGTCCAGCTGCTGACTCTGCATTAGGCATTAGCCTTCATCTGTTAGACACCGCTAAGCCCTTACGAGTTCTGGCTTTCTGGTTTGAAAAACGACACACATGACACACCGCAAAAAGCTGTGGCCTTTTGGTCTATTCCTTTTTCCAGGTGAGGGCATTGTCGGAACAAAAGAAAACTCCGACGGATACACGAAGACGAAAGAAACACGATTTTGTTGTTCCAACGCCCAACTGTGATTGTCTTTCAATCAGTCTCTAGACTCCTCCCTATAAAACATCAGGGGTCCTTTTATCAAAAAAGAAAATAACAGGGGTCTCTCTCTCTCTCTCTCTCTCTCTGCCCTGGCTGTAATGAGAGAGCTTGGTTTCCTCATCGTTTCATTTCTCCTTCTCGGAGCTCTGCAAATAAACTCCGTTGATGGCGGAGGCTTCGCTGGAGACTACTCGAAGCTTTCGGGGATTATTATCCCCGGTTTCGCTTCGACTCAGCTCCGAGCGTGGTCAATCCTTGACTGTCCTTACTCTCCTCTCGATTTCAATCCCCTCGATTCGGTCTGGCTCGACACTACCAAAGTATATTTCTGATTCCGTCTTGTTATTTGTATTCATTGCATTATAGATGTTTCTCTTTTCTTTCATTTATCTGTATGTGATATTTGATGGATTTTTATTTGGTAATTTGGTTTTGGTTCTGAATTTGTTTATACTAGTTTCCTTTAACCAATGTAAGTTTTTTTTTTGGTTGCATTCTGGATGTTAACTTTGCATGTTAGAACGATTGAGCTATGGGCGGTGCTGTTTTTTTCCTATCTTTTGCGTATACATAATTTTGATGTATATGTTTAATTCATTATTTTCCGGTAATTCTCTATTTATTCTTCCGTCAAAGCTTTAGACATATCCAGGAACAAGGTTCAAAATTTCGATAACCGGTGGCTTAACGCTACACCCCTACAGGGGTCGTATCGGGGTCTGACCTGGTTCAGGGGGTAGACCAGCCTTAAACCGACTCCTTTGAACCAGTTTCAAAGAAAAAAAGGGGGGGGGGAGCGAGCTTGATAAGGAAACACAAAATTAGAGTAGCTGTAACAAAAAATTTGGATTGCCTCACAATGGTATATTGTAGTTTTGAAGGCATTGAAGTAAAAAAAACATGGCCAAACCCAAAGCTGGATGGTTATGCTTTACAAGCAAATGATGTAGGATACTGTATTCATGGTAGCTTAATTATAGTTCAATTCTGTCATTTTGGGGATACAACTTAGGGTTGCAGCTTGGGTTGGCCCAAGTTCACATTTTACACTATTTTGGGCTTGGGTCCATTGAAAACTTGACAAAATCCCAACCCTAACCTGCCCAAGCTGCACCATGATACAACTATAAATTCCAGATGAAGCATGTGGAGATTCATGTAGCCGACCCCAGATAGTTGGGATAAGGTTTGGATGGTGATGATGAAATATGGTGATTAGTATTTACAAAATTATTGTTAACGTTTGGTCCCTAAGGTTAAAAATTGTACTCCTTTCCTTAATCCTTAGTCAATTCCAAGGGGCTTCATTCATGGGAGACAAATCACAGATCAAATTTTGGTAGCAAATAAGTGCATGGAGGAATTGAAAAGACCAAGAAATAAAGAGGTGGTGATTAGGGAGGAGATAAAGAGGTCGTTGTTAGTGAGATGACTAATGAGAGGACATGAAGAGGTTTAAATGGTTAACTAGTGAGATGACTAAAAAAGTGCAATGGGAAAGGAGTTTGGCTAATGGAATGGCAGATGCTCTAGCTAAACAAGAGGTGCTAAGGGATTGTGTTGGGCTTAGTTGTAATCATTGTGATTTGTTCCCTTAATAAAATTGATCTTTTTACTTATCAAAAACAAAAAAAAAACCCTCTTCACAGATATTCTCGGTCAGAACTATGCCTCCTTCACCAGCCTCTCTATTCCTTGGTTTGGTTTTGTAACCTGGAAAAGAAACCATTCAAATAGGCAATTAGGCAAGCTTCACAGCTTTCATATGGAAAGTACTAGAGCCCATCTCTCAGAAGTATAAACATATCCATTCTCTTACAACAGTAGTACAAAACCAGAGATGTGAATCCAAAGATTTTAGTGAAACTCTCATGAGATTGATGAAATTGATTAAACTCTCATGAGATGTTAAGCCAGAGACAAAAGTACAGAAACAGATTCAATCTCAGAAACCCTCATGAGGTTGATGAAATTGATGAAATTGATGAATGAAACTCTCATGTGACATGAATCCAGAGACAAAAGTACAGAAACAAATCCAATCTCGGAAGCCCTCATGAGATTGATGAAATTCTGAGATTAAACACTACTCATAAGACAAAAATCAGAAGCAAAGATTGAAACACCGGATGTAGCAGAATCTTCACCGCTCATGGTTACAGATTAAAAAAGGCTCTTAAAGTGGGCACAATGCCTTTAAAAAAAAGTCTAACACCAAGGGAGAAAAGAGCCCCTTTTTTTTGCTAAACACAGGTGCTGTTACAGCACTAGCAGGCCATCCCCTGACCTACAGAATCAAAACTGGTTGCTGTCGCAGTGCATACAGGTCACCTCGTGACCTATGCATCAACAGAGATGCTGTTAAAGCATGTACAGGTCACTCTCTGACCTTCAGGTTCACCATAAAAGCTGCTATCGTAGCACACAAAAAGGTCTTCACAGACCTACAGTTTTTTTTTTTTTTTTTTTTACAGGGATCAGTTGACCCCACAAAAAAGGAAAGAAAGAGGTGCTGATCACCTCACATCCAACCAGCAGACCTAGTACAGGTTCTGCTCTGGTGCACAACCAGAAAAAAAAGAGGAGAAGGAGAGAGATTACTTCAGTGCGTGAGAAAACTGGATCTTCAGTCACCCGAACAGTAGATGAGGATGGCAGATCTGGAAACCTGGCGCGAAGGAAATAGTTCACTCGATCTCTCCTTTCAGATCTGATAGTCCCACTCTGATACCATGTTACACAGGAGAGAAGAAGAGAGGAAGAGAGAAAAGAGAGAGAAGAAGAAAGAAGAGGGATATGAGAGCAAAAAGCATTGCTGGCGGCGCCAGCTATTGGTATTTATACTAGGGCGACAGAATATAAAAAAATAAAAGGAGAAAGTACAATAGTACCCCTGCGGTACTATACTTAAAGAATTAACAATTTTTAACAGGGTGTATTTGCTTTTTCAGATTATCTTCTATACTTGATACAAGTTACTTTTACCTTTCCAATAAAAAAAGCATTTCCTGATTACACTACCAAATATGAGTTCAATTGCCTCTTTGGATCAGGTTTTCCTCCTTCAAAAAGGGAAAAATTATGCCGAGAGATTCCATGGTGGCTATCATATGGACTATTTGGGAACGTATGGACAATAGAGTTTCTTCACAACAGTTGCCTGCCTAAAGTGTTGATCATATTGTCACAATTAGAGTGGCCCACTGGGTCTACATGAGTAAGAACTTAGATATATGACCTTTCATGATAAAGTTTTAACGAATGGGCACACACAGAGAGCTCTCCTATTTTTCAGGCAAATCCCCCTTTTAGAGCTGGTTGCCTAAGAGAATCTTAACTTTGATGTCTGCTCCTTGGGCTCCAGGCTATCTGGATTCTAGAGAGAGGGAATCTTTCATGCGTGAGGATAGAGAAATTCTTTTGGCTTATTTGGAGCCAATTGGATCAAGGAATCATTATATTCTTGTGTTTTGGTATTAGGAATCATTTTATACTCTGGGCAAATAGGCTTTGGTAATTCACTAAAGGCAGTGCTGATGGCATTGCTACAAGGACTAAGGGTGGTAAAAAACTTAAACTTCAAAAAGATTGAGGTAGAGGGAGATTCAATGGTGGTGGTACAATGGATGAAGAACAGCAGCCAGTCATCGAGGGAAATAAAATGGTTAGCAAGGGAGGTAGAGGCTGAGTTCAGATGGGAACCAGGAATTGTTAATTGTCTAGTGAACACTTTAACAAAACAGGATGCCAATGGGATACAGCCATTCATTGTAATATAAAGAGTATAAGGGTTTAGGTGGAGTTGTTGCTGATAAGAAAGGGTTGAGCTTCAAGCCTAATCCATGGGTTGCTAGCCATGTTGTACATGTCATTCTTTTCATACAAAATAATAAAGATTTTCAGTTACCCATCAAAAAAAAAAAGAAAAATCAAGGGCTTAGGTTGATTATATCGGCTGGACAGGAGCAAATAATAGTGAAGGGTGATTCAAGGTTACCATCAACTGGTTTAGAAGAGATTCTGTGGGACCCTGCTTCTATGGATGTTATATCATAAAGGTTAGAACTCTAGCTTTAATGGTGAACATCTTGTTCAGGTGGATCTGGAGGTCAGTCGACTCATTGGCTGATTGTTTAGATAGAGGAGGTGTGGAGAAATCTGATTTCTATGCTGAGCATTCCTCCCATGATAGTTATTTTCTTTCACATTACTGTTTGTAGGCTAGATGTTTATACTTTTATTTTTGCTATTCAATTTAATTATCTGTCACAAACAAATAAGCCTAGTCTAATTTCCCAAAGTTGCTAAGATCAGATTTGGAAAAAAAGATTAATTGGTTGTGGTGCAGGGTCTTATTGCCTTCCGTTGGATCTATTATTGTTGGACATCTATTCTATTTCGAGTTGTATGGTTGTATTACAAAATCCACATGTTTCCTTTCCTGTGAACAAGTATCCAAACTAGTGTAATGCTTTATCATTGAATTTGGCATTTCTCCAACAATTCGGATGTGTGAACAATGGTATTGGGCTTATGCTACTTTCTAGTAATTGTTTCTGTGAATAGGGAGGTTTATGTGCATCTGGATCGGTTTTATGGTTCATGCTACATGTCTAGGCTTCATTAAAGGATGTTTATTATGTTGTATAGTTATGTTCAGTCTCCTCCTGTATCAAGTTTATGTTATTTGATGATAAACACAGGTGCCGATGATATGGATGATCTTAGGTATTTCATGTTACCTGCAGCTTTTATCTGCAGTGAATTGTTGGCTTAAGTGCATGTTGCTAGACCCTTACAACCAAACAGATCACCCTGAATGCAAATCACGTCCTGATAGTGGTCTTTCTGCAATAACAGAACTTGATCCTGGTTATATAACAGGTGAGCTACTCTTTATTCTTTCCCTTTTTTCGGTAATAAATAAAAGAGAAAAATTTATTAATAAGGAAACAAAGTGCAACCATGGGGTGATGAGAGATCACCAAGATAAGGCACCAAGCAAATGCAAAACAAAAATTACAAAGCAAAGATTCCATGATCAAATTCTATAACATCCCAGAAATTATTTTCTAAGTCTTCCTTTGAAACATTTTCTAACTCTGGTAGAATCAAAGCCCAATCTCAAATCTTTTCTCGTCTCTGCACTTTGGTTGGCCGTCAAAGATTCTTCTATTTCTTTCCTTCCAAATTTCCCGGAAAATAGCAAAAGGAATGCAACTCCAAACTATCTTTATCTTCCTATTTCCCCTCAAAATAGGCCAGCTACCAAGTATCTCGTTTGGTGATTTTGGATTCCACATGTCAAGATTGAAAAGGCTGAAGTAGTAACCCCATACATACTTCGAATATTGGCAACCAAAGAATAAGTGCATCACACTAAACAAAGGTAGCATCTCCCTATTGAATGAATTCCTCTATTTTTGATATGATCTTGACTCTTGAGTATACCTGTTCGTTAGCTGGGCTTCAGGCTCGGCTCATGAATATTATACACTATTTCAGTCTCGGTCTTTGGGCCAGGCCCATTCAAATTATGGCAAAATCTAAGCCTGAGCCCAGCCCATGAACAGGTCTAATCTTGACTCTTGAGTAAGAATGCTGTTCAATGCCACCAACCAAGCAAATGCCTCCACCCTAGGGGAAATTGGATTTCCCCAGATCCCTTTCACATCTGATTACTCCACCTGGTTTCTTACCAAAGCATTATAAAAAGATTTAACTGAAAAAAGACCATTTCTTCCTTTCTTTCCACCATCTGAAATCAGTTCTCTCTACCTGGATTTCCACTGACTGTAATTTTGCCAAAAGCTCCATGCATTCCCCAACCTCCCAATCAAAAAGTGGTCTTCTAAATCTTCTCTCCCTTGTTTGCAGTTCTCCGAATTGCATGTTGTATATAAATTAGTGGAGAGGGCACATGTGATGCACATGGATGATTTAACTTGTCTGGGTCAATTTAAAACCAACCTGTGTACCCTACATACATAGTGTTCCTTTTGGGAGGATGGATATATAATGGACAAACAGGTTTGCTAGACTAGTTGTCTAGCAATGAGATCTAGGTGACCCAGAATTTTCTTTTGGAAGCATTGGTGACAACTCAAAAGGCTTCTTTATGTTCACCAAACCACCCTATTCATTGGGCAAGTATTGGTCCACAATCCCCTTACAAACTGACATCCTATCACTAAAATGACCATAATGAAAGAATGGTAGGATCCATCTAATGGACGCCATAAAGGTTGCGGAATGGGTGGGGCGAATTTCAAAAATTTCCTACCTTCTCCCAACTGGGAATCATATTCCCTGAATTTAGAATACAATATTCAAGGATCTACTTGAACCCTAATCAAACCAGATCTGTACCAAAAGAT